GCGTGAAACCAGCAGAAGGCATTCACGTGCTTGCAGTTCCAAGATTGCTTGAACTTTACGTACGACGAAAAATTGAAGGACTGTGGTGTGTCCGTTCAGTGTCACGGCTGTTATGCTGCCGCAGTGTTTGATTTCATTGCCACCGTACGAGTGTAGAACAGAGCAGTTGGACTTTAACAGTGGTTTTGGCTGCATATTGGTGACGAAACTCAAGGGAATGATGTTTGCTTGCGAGCCAGTATCGACTTTAAAGCTCACCGATACGCGAGAAACGTTCGCGTGAACAAGCCAGTCACGGCTGCTGACCTTGCTTCTCAAGGATACATTTAGCACATCAAAGCATTCTTCATCGCCAGTGAGCTCGTTGGCTTGACTCCCTACTTTGCAACAAATTGCGGAGTGGTTCTTCCACTGGCAGTTGTAACAAGCACGCCCGAACGCAGGACACTTTCTTGGTGCGTGTGTTCGCACGCATCTGGGACATATGTAGTCAGGTGGCTTCCTGGTGTTGCTGTTTCCTTGTCTCGCTTCTTGGTGCTGGCGCTGTGAAGTTCCAAATTTGATCCACTTGATGGTCCCGTATCCATGTTTCTTGCTGGGCTGCTGTTGCTTCTGCTGCCTCGCAAGTCTGTTCCTCTTTCTGTAGAGCGAGATTTGTGCTTTTTAGCAGCTTCCCTCGTAGTTTCTCGTTTTGTATTCCAAAAACAATCTGATCGCAGATCATGGAGGCACGCAAGTTTTCAAAGTTACACAGACGAGCTTGTGTCTTCAAGTCTCACACGAAGTGCTCAAAAGGTTCGCCTGGCTCTTGCATTCGTTTTCTGAACAAGTAGCGTTTATATGTCTCATTGCTCTGGCTCTCACAGTGCTCGTCAAACTTTTTGACTACCATAGCATAATCGATGTTGCTCTCGCCTTCTGAAAAAACGAAGGTGTTAAATACCTCTATGACTTCTTCGCCTGAATTTGTCAGCAGCAACGCAGTCTTCGTCTGCTCTGGTCGTGGTTGTCCGGAAGGTTCTGTAGCCATCAAGAAGAGCTCAAGTTTCCTCTTGAACCCAGCTCTTGCCTATGTCTCCTGTGAAGCGTTCTGCATCCGTCAATCGAACAAATTCCATCCCGACTGCTCAGTGCGCCGTGGGCGCCTACGTGTGCGGCGATGGGTGCGCGGCACTTCTGACACAATGTATCGATAACATAATATGCCTGGTAGCCGGTGGGAAAAAGAACCCCGTTTATTGAACGTCAGCTGGTTATATGCGCTGAATGCGTGCGTATCAGGTACATCTCTACACAGTTCATGCGCATATCGTGCGCCACGTGTACGATACAGAAGGTAACAGTACAGTATATCTTAATCTCCCCGCTCCAGCAGAAAGTGCAGCTTTTGAGCAAATACGGCAGAACAAATTAAAGTTTCTCCAAGCACGATTGCATAAAACGCTGTTACACCTGATGAACTGAAATGAAATATTTAGGTGGGCAATATAATGGAGGTGCAACGTACTCTGCGAGGCAATAACACTTAACACGTGCACCTGCACAAAACGCTTGTTCCCACTCGGTGTCCTGAAAGACAAGAAACAGTCCTTAACTTGAATTTTCTTCAGCGCTAAACTTGACGTGCTGAAAGTTAAAAGTAGTGACCCCTGTATAGAAAAAAGTCTGCCTCAAAAACTATTTACAAACACGATTGCAAGTGTGCGCGTTCATGCGATGTCAAGCAACATTACCCCTGCAGAGTGCAAGAGGTAATGATTTTCATTGCTATCTTGCAATTTTTAAAGCGAGGCAGTACATGACTTGGATCCCGAGATTCCTTTACCTCATTTGTTCATCTTTCTTACCTTTTTTTGTTCTCTACCATTTTCTTTTCTATTAATATGCTTCTCCCTAATCCCAAGTTTAGGGTATCCAACCGAGCCAGAGCTTGGTTAACCTGCCTGCTTATCCCTATACTTTTTTTCTTGACTGAAAACTGTTTCACACAATAAAGCGAAAGGTCGCATTTACCGCATTACGTTCCCATTGGAGTTAAACCGGGAAGACGTACTCTGATATACATATCAATCATTTAGAGCACAAGACAAGTGGACATGCCTATGAGGTGTGCTGAAACAATACGAAGCAGGCCTTTTGGTAGATCCGTTCTGCGGGTCACGATCGCGGTTGCATCACCGCAGTTGCCGACTTCCAGCAACTGCTAGTGCATTCATATAGATTAGCAGGACTAGCGTACTGCAACTAATTTCATTTGGCGGGTATATTGTTATGGGAAACCCACAAAGATTTCGGACGTTTGAATGAAAGCTTCGAAACGAAGGTGTAGTGGCGGTAGTTGTCTCGTAAAACGTTTCATGTCAGTTACAGGTCGGTCCCACTGGTTTATCGTACCAGCTGATACGACAGATTAGCTGGCTATCAACCTCACAGCCTGCATTGATGTTCATAGTCCTACGTATCAATCTGGAAATACACTGCTCAGCAAGTTGTGAATATTGCAGAGAACAGAACATGAGACCCCGCGAGCGCTTTGTATCAGACATCTCAACTCGCATTTCATTCCATTTGACAAGATCTTCATCCGAGGTTTTACACAAAGGCTAAAAAAAGTTAATACGGATTACCTAGCAGTCTTTTTGAATTTCACGATCGATTCACCAGAATGTAGGTGGCGGGTTGCTGTTAAGTCTACTGCCATTTGCTTCAGCTAAGCTGCGTGGGCCCGGCCAAAAGTAACACCTTGCGGCGACTGTGCTCTTTGTATATGACGTGGCGCCTGGTTTGTGATGTTAGCTAGTGCTGTTTGGGAAAAGCGGCATTACCTTTTGCCTACAAGTGAGTTCCCCTCATAAGTTTAGAAAATCCAAGAGTGGAAGTTGACACGGCGTCTCACCGACAGAAGTAGGGCTAGCGCTTGCTCCTCCTTCATTTCGGGAAATGGCCTTTTTTTGTAGATGGTCTGGTAATTAAAGTGAAGAAGTTTCAATGAGTATTTGAGTTGTGACGTGAGTGACAAAATTACTTGTAAATTACAAACTTTTTACTCCAGCGCCTTATATACACCTGTTGACATTTCCACTTGTCTACTGACCAGAAATTTGCTTGAGTGCAGGCGCTTTTTGGCCGCCTTTGACAATATTTCATAACGCCGTTGTTTTTTGTGGGACAAAAGTATTCACGTGTCGTTTATTATTTATTGCATAGTACAGTCTGTAGGCGGATCTTGGCAAAGTAGGGAGGAGATGAATTAGAGTCACAGCTTTGCCGCAAAGGTTATGCGCGGAATGTAAAGCAGATACAAACGTGCCCCGCGTTTTTTACGCACAAATGACGCATGAAACGCACTGACAGGTACAGATGCTCGCGAGCGGGCGCTCATTTGTTACTTCGCAGTGTTTGAAAAGCGTGCGCTTTCTCGCATACGAAGGTTGCAATGATTGCTGTGAACTTTGTGCGCCCGGTAACTGCTGCAGAATAGTTCCAGGGAAACACTTCTCTGGCAGTGCACCAAATTCGCTAATTTATCGCACATCACCTGTGCCAGATGGGAGGCGGCAATTCGCAGCTCGTCCTTGGCAGATCAGCTCTGGGCTGTCCACCAAGCCCGCGAGGCGGCTGAGGAGCTTGGCATCTTAGTCCCCACGTGGGAGCTGCCCGCAACACAGTGATGTGTGTTTTGGAGGACCAAATAAAATTTTATCCAATCCAACCGATGCCAGCGAAGACGGATGATCCTCCCCTCCTTCCACCACGAGATAAGGGCGCGCGAGGGAACGTCGCTCCCTTCTCTAAGCCTGGCAAAGTACGCGTAGAAGATTAGAGCGGGCGTTGTCGCGCAATATGGCGACGCGCGCTCAATGTGCCATATTGCTGGTAATGCTGAAAACACAATTCCCGACGAGATGGCCGAAAGCAGCGGTAGTCGTAGATATAATTAGCTTACCGTTTAAGCGGTGAAGGACGTGCTCCGGGTTGGCTCAGTGGTTAACGTCTCGCTCTCATAACACAGAGTTCCCACGTTCTATTCCGTGCGTCGTAGTGTTACTCTGGCTTTTTTATTTGTTGCATTTTGATATATATAGATATGTATACATATACGGGGAGTGACGGCGACGCCGATGTCGATGCCAACGCCAGCGGCGAAATTCAGTCGAGAGTGTACATATAATTGCTACCGCAATAAAACGCGAGAGAAGCAAAATGTACGCTACGCCCTGGTCGGCAAGACAAAATGCAGATGTATCTGGTGCAGAAAGTTAGTTACTGGTGTATATTTTAGTGTGTGTACTCCTTGCGGTATTTTAAGAAAAAAAATTCCTAAGCGATTGCTTAGTTCCAAAGTGAACCAGTTGTGGATTGGCACGTGTCAGTGAAAAAAAAGCATCTGTCGTGGGGCATCGCTTAGATTGAGGTACTAGTCGTGACAGATACTCATTGGGCTCATCACGAGATCGTTAGCTGTGAGAAAGGACCGAAGTTGAATCCTTCTAGGTATGAAAACAGCTCTATGAGGTGTCCAAGGTTTACGAAGTGCTAGAAGGCCATTTTTGTATGATTGAGCTGTTTCAGCTTAGAATGCGTGTCTTGTCTCTCATTCCAACGTGACTGCGGGTGCTGCGAACTAATTGCACAATCTTACAATATTGACTTCCGTTCAAGTAGCCAGATTAAATACCATAGTTTTACAGCGTGCGAAACTACGCCAAGAGAGAAAAATATGACACACACAGGCTTCAAATACAACTTGCTTTGGTGTGCAGTAAGCTGGTGATTAGATGGGTGTTCAGATATAGCTTGGTAACTTTCTCAGCTAATGAACTGTACTACGTCGTAAAAATTCGTAAACACTTTGTTCGTGCGGACATGCTACGCAGGCTTAGATGCGGTACTTTCCACAACTTTGTGTAGTTTCTTGATGCATGGGCGATGCAAGAGAGCATCAAACTAGCACCAGGAAAGTCTCCGCTAGTTTCTTAAGTATGATAGATTGTCTGGAATTCGCAGTTACAAATACTCGATTTATTTCATCTGCTACAACATTGAAATGAACAAGCACGCATAGAGGTAAAAGTATCGTCGGATGTCTTAAGAAAAAAAAAAATGAAAACATCGATAGGAAAACTGCGGTCTCTCTCTACTGTGGCACTGGTGCTCTTCAGCAAGGACAGCTCTGGTACTCTGCTGGCTCCACATCCAGCCATGTGGACCACGTGCAACGGTGGATCTCTGGGAACCCACGTTCGTCCACCTGGTAGCTTACCAGCTTGTTGGGTAAGTGTGCTCGGTATGCGGCGAGCTTGTTTAGCAGTCTGTCGCGCAACTAGGAAAAAAAATGCAAGAAACTCTTTAGTGCATTTTCGGATTTGTTCTTCTCGTTGATACTGTGAAATTCACCAGTATAACTTTAAAGTCAACACACCATTGTTGATAACATGGCTGCTATTTAAAGGCAACATCAGTTTAGCCGTGCCCTGGTAAATGGCTCCCTGAATAGACAGAGTAAATAAACTCTGATAATATTAGCCAGGGAAAAGGGGATTGTTCCGTTATTCAAGGGGAAAAAACTGGTAATATGAGGAATGAAACTCAGTCAGCACCTTACGAGGCGAGTTTGTTTCCTTAACTCTACACGTTGGAAGGAACGCGTAATACAGTACATAATGCAAAAACGCCAGAGCCGTTGACGCAGTCATCTTACACATACTAAAAAATATATATATCCAGCCATTTCACTTCAAAGCTTTTAATGCTAAAAAAAGTGAAAACTGCCCTTATGTGACACGTCAGGAGAGTTTTCGACTTGGCGTGGATTCACACGAGGGAACGGAGGAATTTTCGCAGCGGATGGTGCATAGTGTGACATGCGCGAGATCGAAGCGTGTCCGTCCTCGCTTCATCCGCTCGCGCCACAAATGGAAATGTGTCGCCGCTATCTCGATCTTTTCGTATGACAGTCGCCTGCTCTCGATCGAGGAGATTCAGCGTCAAATTTATCAACGTTGGCCGGATTGGCGGGACTATAAAGCAGGCTGCCAGCTTAAAATCCACATGTTTTAGTTTGGCGGCAACGACCGAATGTGTTTCGTTTGACAATGGGAGAGGTGAGGGTATTCAGTGGTAGATTAGTGGTTTTCATTCGCAGCGCGTACCTGCATGACCACATAAGCGCGCTGCATAAGCATAGGAGTCGAGAGTATGCACGTAGATTCCGCGAGCGTAGCTCCGGCTGTGTGCATGCGACGTCTCCGTGGCTGCTCTGGATTACAGTGGCTAGAATAGGAAAGTGTGATGAGCGGCAGGCGGCGCCTACGGAGCGCACTGAAGACTCCGGGGAGGAGCCGCGTGGGGGCGCACGCAGTCGTTTATACGTATAGTTCAGGATGATGGCGCAGAGTTTTTCAAAGCACTGGGATTTAGGGACAGCGAGGGCAAAATAGACTTTAAGCGGGTAGACTTAACTAGAAGGAGGTTATCTGATTGGTGGCTAAAGTCAAGGCACGAGTGAAAATTAAACCCTTCACTGCGAAGTACGAATCCTCAACTTCATTATTTAAAGGAAAAAAAAGATAATGTAATGGTTAGTTCACCAAGTATACGCTAGGTGGCGTTAGCCGCCGCCCGATCTAAAGGGTACAGCCACATCCATCCATCCATCCATCCATCCTAAACTCTTCACTGCAAAGTACGAATCCTCAAACTCTTTTTTAAGGAAAAAAAAATAAATATAGTTTTTGGTTCATTATATATTACGGCTTGGTGGCACTAGCCACCGCCCGATCTAAAGGGTACAGCCATATCCATCCATCCATCCATCCATCCATCCATCCAACGTTGTTTTGCACGTTTCCGAAAGTTTCGTCGGGCGCGTTTGTCCTCGTTTTTTAACAATTGCGGTGGCAATCTGACGTCAACGCTTCTGTATGCACTCTCATAGCATGAAAACAAAGTCATTGCTTCGTCTCAGGGTTCACTAAAGGCTACAAGTCAGCTAAAAAGAAGCGTGCCTTGTGCGACGTTCTAAAGCACAAAACTCTGTTAGTGCAGTGGCGGAGAGTGATACCGCACGCTGACAAACTGCTTTAAAACTCGGCTGTGTGCGAGCTGCACTTTCGGCGAGAGGTACATCTCGCGGCACCTCGAGCACACTGGGAATAGCAAAATTGTCCGCATTGAAAGCGGTAGGTCCATAGGTGTGCTTTCCGTAAGGGGGGGGGGGGGCAAAGATTTACTGCAGGACTCCTCCTCCCTTTTAAATCAGTGTATGAGGCATATTTTACGCCACCCCCTTTTAGATGACTAAAAGAGTGCCCCCCTGCCTAGTCAATGTATAGAACATACTTAGCGCTTCCTTCCAAGGTGGCCAGCCCCCTTTGTATCCCTCGTGCGGACGCCTATGGGTAGGCCTTTCGGAGAAGCTCTTCGCATTTGTAGACGCCCTTGAAATCACTTCTGAAAAGTGGTTTAGCTACAACGATCTTCAAAGTGACAGCGTGAAAGAGCTTGTTTCCTGCTTAAAAAATGTCACACTGGGCTGCGCACACACACCATGGTCCGAGCCTCACCAGCCAAGTAACGAAGTTTTTTCCGCTCACCCATTAGCCTTTTTACACAAAGGTACTCCACAAGGAGCGAGCATCTTACCACGGAAAGAGGAAGTACCTGAAGCTCAGGCGCATCACGTAGGCTTGCAGCCCAATGTTCTGTGGGGCGCTTGTGAACTATAAACTTTTTTTTTCTTGAGGATAAAAGAGGACGCGCTGACCAATTAGTAAGAATGCATTGCTGTAAACAGTTCGTTAGTCCCTACTCGGAATTACGTTGTATGACGTGTGTGCAGAAATCGAAAGGTTTTCATTCAGATACTGCTCGTGATTCTTGTCTCTGAGTATGACGTCATGAATGAAGGAGCCTTATTTACAGATTATAGCTTGAGGAAATGATGGTTATGGAAGGTGTTGCAAGCAATAGCTCACAACTGAGTTCTTCGTTCCACTCTTCTACCATTTCACATCGATAAAATGTTTCAGCGCTGTCATGCGCTCACTTTCGGCATTCTGTCGAACTGATGATATTTCAGTTCAGTCGCGCCCCCGCGTCGGATTCCTGTTTTGTAGAAGCTAATTAACATATTTTCTTGGTCGCCATTTGAGGCCATGCACGAACAAAAAAGACATGTTAAATGTTTCACATTACCTGCGCGCGTGGTTGATTCCCGTTTCTGCTCAGTACATCGCTGCCTTGGGTGACGCGCAAACGTGTGCCACCGCCATCTGGTGGTGTCCTCCTAAGACGCTACGCGCTGGCCAGCTTGTTCATCACACTTCCCAATTCTAGCCACTGTAGCTGGATGAAACTATTCACGCGACTATTCGGAACGCGGAGCAGTGGGATTTACCTCTCGCGTGTGAATCTGGCTTTAGGGACCGGTTCCTGTTTCTTCTTCAGGGACAGAATTTCGCTTTTTTTAAGCACGTTTCAAATGCTTGGTATTTCAAACACAACATAAAGACACTGCAAGCCTCGCACCAGTGCTGGCAAGGTGTGCTTTCAGTGTGTAAAAGACAAATTAGACTTCTTATCACTTCATTTATTACACTATTCATAACTTGCAGGCATTCATAATGCATTGCCCAACAAAACAACGTCGCGCTCTATTGCTGTTTTACAAACGATGCTCCCTAGAGCATAGCCATGTCCTCTGTCCATCGGCCTGATACGCTATGTATATACATATGCGTGTGGAAAATAATATCGCTATTCATGTATTCATCTGTATGGACATCCATGTGGATATCCATATTCATATGGATAGCCATATGAATAATCGTACGAATATGCATATGAACAAACATATCCACATGAATATGAATATTTCTACAGAGACCCGTATAAACATCTGAATACCAAATGCACAGTATTACTAGTAAAAACTTTGTATATACTGTACACATTTGTCACTGCTCTGCATGACCGAGTGGGGAATGTAAGGGGGTTAATGATCCACCGGAGCTTCGCCCACTCGTCATCATATACTTTGTGAATATGCTCTGATCTTTTTAAAATGATTTGATACCTCAGGCTCCGACGAGGCGAGGTTGTTCAGCTCGCACGGATCATTGAACACGTCGAACAGGAAGACGGGGTCGTCAGGTTTCAAATTATTCATGACAGTCATGGCCACCGTTAGACATAGCGTTGCCGCTACATTTAACGACCAATTCTTGCCGCCAGTTTCTTCGGAGAGCGGAGCGATGGCTACTGCGACTGCTGCTGCTGCTGCTGCTGCTGCTGCTGCTGAAAGAGGCTTGCTGCAGTGCTCGCCAAGCATCGGAAGATTCCATTAGCGCATCAAGGTCCAGTGTTTCAGGAGGACTTCCACGAGGTGGAGGCAATCGACTGTCAAAGAGTGGATCCAGCATCAACTCTGAACGGTTGACTAGCTTGTACCTGCGAGAAGTGAACCATTTGAACGGTGTAACCACCCTCGTGAACATTCTGCTTTATAACGAAAGAATGTGACGATGCTTAAAACACAAGGGATGTTTTTCTAATAGTTAAACTAGTTATTGCCGAGTGAAGCCCACGCTACACTCGGTGAGTGGCAGTCTATGCCGGATTTCTCGCTTCAAGCCAGGCGTGCGAGATGGATCGACGCGTTTATGGAAGTTTAGTAGGTGTGTGCTTGATCTTGTTATGCACGTCGACTATCCAGGCGTCTAAATGGTAGCTTGGGATTTGAAGTAACGTTGAAGCCCCCCCCCCCCCCCCCCCCCTAGAGCGAATCTATGAGTCTTATTGCCATGTATTGCACGCTACGGTGCGTCGAGGTGAAGTAATAAGTAGCTTTCATCGGAGTTTTCGAGCAACGATTGGATGAGTTTGGTCGATCCTTGCTGCGTTGTTATAAGGTAGCATAGCTAGCAGAGCAACCACATTTAACATTGCCCAGATATGATGCTTGTGCGAGCTATTCCTGTTTAAACGTTTGACGCATTGCCGTGACTCCGCGGTAGAGTACTACACTTCCATGCAAAATGCCTGGATTGGATTCTTGTTAAACTAATGTTTTTTAACGCTCCTACGTTAGAGACCTCATTTCACGGGAATTTCGACATCGTTATTTGTGTCGGCGTTGTTGGTTATCAGCGAAAAACCGTCATATTTTCAATGACCGAAAATACAAGAATGATGTAAACACAATATCTAATAAAAATACCTGGTCTGAGTGAGGATCTAACCCAGGCGTCTGCGTTGAAAGTAGGCGTTGTACCACCGAGCCACAAAGTATGCCTTGCCATTGTTAACTCGATTTAGCATATATATAACCCATCACATTTAAATTACCATACAGAACAGCCACATTATTCAGAACAGTAGGATGTATTTCAAAAGTCAGAGAAACACGCATAATTATCTAGAAGGGTAAGCCACTCCGTAGTGGGGTCACAAGACTTAACACTGCGAACTTTCTTCTCGGAAGACGGACCTCATTGGCAGTGCCGGCGTGGCACGTGTGTCAATCATGCGAATTTCACATAGCGAATAACGCCCTATTAACCTGAACAGACTACTTGAAGCATTATTACTGGGGCTCTTCTTGACAATAACGCCCTATTAACCTAAACAGACTACTTGAAGCATTATTACTGGGGCTCTTCTTGACAACAGATAGAAAATAAAACATTATATGAATGCCATGTTGTAGAAGGAGTCTCCTTGACGCGTCAAACGTGGCAGAAGCGTAGAATCGCGCCACACATCAAAAGAATTCACTAGAAAAACTAGTTTGTGTACTGAAGGCCCACCAGTTACAGTGCTCCGATATATTTATTCATCGTCAGGAGCAGAAGTATCAACGGAAGAAATAGCTGCGTAGATTTGCGTGTGGCCTTGAGGACGTGTAATAAGCCCTTCACTCATTCGCCTAAGAAATATTTACGCATAAGGCCTGTTTCACATGAGAATGTCTTTGTCCCATAGAGAGTGAGAGAGATTGACTTTATTTAAACATATCCTGAGGAGGCTGAGAAAGGGCCATTCCGACCCTTATTTCAACCTGGAGGCTCCGCCCAGGATGGCGCTAGCAGCCGAAGGCTTGTAGCGATGTCCCGTGCCCTCTGGACCTCTGTAGTTGCTGCTTGTATTCATTGCTCCGGAGGGCTTCCTGCCAAGCCTCTTGGGTATTCAGTTGTGCTGTGCTGTGGGTAGGGCACAGCCAGAACATGTGTTCGAAATCGCAATAGGTATGGTTGCGAAAAGAGCATGTGGGTTGTGTCGGGGTCGACTCTGTGTAAGGTGGATGGTGTTATGTACGTACGTGTTTGCAATCTCCTTAGAGTTAGAGCTTGTGCTTTGTTAAGTTTTCGGTGCGGTGCTGGGAAGGCACGTCTTTGTCCCCTTTAATGTGAAGTGATCTCGTGGTATGTGAGTGCTTTGTCCTGGCTGCAGAGATTCTCGTACCGCTCACTCATCGAGGGGTCGTTGTCCACGGCGCGGCGTGTGAGCTCACGCGTCAGGCGGTTGACCTCTTCGTTGGGATTGCAGTGGTCGAGTCGCGGTAACTGTCCCATGTGGGCTGGGAACCAGGATACGTAGATTTGAGCTTTTTCTTCTTTAAAACGGGTTTCTTTTCTCTCGTACTCTCTTATTGGGTTGATGGTGAGTTTTCCAGTGCTTCTAGCTACTAGGCCAGCTGCGAACGTTCGTGCCGCCGTCTTAGAGTCTGTGTATATTGTGGAGTAGGCTTGGCAGCTTGGCAAGGCTAGCACGATCGCCGTTTCCTCTGCTTCGTGAACATGGCTTGTTCGAACGGTTGCCGCTTTTATGAGGTTTCTGTCTATACCAATGACCGCTTTGGCAAACGCCTTCCTGCCAGAGTAGCAGGCGGCATCTATGAATAGTGCGTGCGTGTTGTGTTTTTTTGCCTTGTTTAAGAGCGCCTTTGCTCTGTCTTTCCTTCGCCCTTTGTTGAACGTAGGGTGAACGTTGCGGGCGATTGGCTCAACGCTAATGTGTTTCCTCACGTCATTACCAAGTTGTGTTCTTTTCTCTGGTTGAAAAATTGGGCAAATGTCTGCGTCTCGTAGGATGAGATGGCCTGCCTGCGTCAACGACAGGCGTGTGATCAGTGCCACTCTCTGAGCCTCGAAAATTTCTTCGGCTGTGTTGTGCAGACCAAGTTGCTCAATTTTCTCCTTGCTCGTGCTATTGGGCAAGCCGAGTGCCGTTTTCAGTCCCTTGCGGAGCATGGAGTCGACCTTTTTGATTTCAGCTTTCGTAAGTTTCAGAAACGGGAACGCGTATGCTACGTGACTAACGAGAAAGGCGTGATATGCCTTCATGATGTTGTCTTCTAGGAGGCCTGCTCTCTTGTTGGCGATTCTAGCAATGCCTCTTGCAAAATTGTTCGTGATTTTTTCAAGGCGCTTGAGTGCTTCCTTGTTGTGGCCCTCTTTTGCGTTTAACGTTAGCCCTACTACCTTGACTGTATATACTTGCGGTGTCGTTTGGTTGTTCTCAGCTTTGAGCAATACTTGCTGCTCCTTTTCACCCAATTTTCGTCGACGGTGAAAGAGCGTTAGAGTATATTTAGTGCGGGAGAGTGCGAGTCCAGTTGGCTTAAGAAATTCTTCTGTTGTAGTCAGTGCTTGTTGAAGGATTCCTTCCAAGGTATCATATGAGTGGCCACATGGAACCCATATGGTAATATCATCCGCGTATATGGCATGGTGCACGGATGGGATTAGAGCGAGCTTCTCCGACAACCTGTGCATCGCCACTATAAAGATCGTTGGCGAGAGCACTGGCCCTTAGAGGTGCCAATATTTCCGAGTCGTTCGGGTTCGCCGCATTGCTCTCCTATGCGTATGGTGGCGGTTCGGTTCGCCAGAAAGCCTTTAATGTAGTTGTGGAATTTCTCGCCTAGGTTCATGTGTGATATTTCACCCAGTATGTGTTCATGTTTTACGGTGTCAAAGGGCTTGGCGAGGTCCAGGGCTAATATGACTTTGGGAGTGTAGAGGAGCCTATAACATATGCGTTCTCTTAACATCAACATGGCGTCCTGTGTGGATAGTGCCCTGCGGAAGCCAATGATGTTGTGTCGAAAGAGCCCATTGCTCTCAATGTGGTCCGTGATACGGTTGAGTATTGCATGCTCAGCTACTTTTCCAACGCCAGATATGAGCGATATGGGCCTTAAGTTATCGATGCTCAGCGGTTTTCTAGGTTTGGAATGAGCGAAACCTTAGCACTACGTCATTCTTCTGGCACGGTACCCGTTTCCCATGTCCCATTTATCTTCTTAGTAATGATTACAATTGCTTTGTCATTTAAATTCCATAGGAGTTTATTCTCGATGCCATCTGGCCCTGGCACCGATACGCCATTGAGTTGCTGTAGAGCATACCGTATTTCAGCTTCGCTGAATGGTTCGTCTAGCTTCTCTTGCGGTCGAACTTTATATGAGGGATTTTCGTTTTCCCGGGCTACTGCTCTGCTTTCCAGTGATATATATTTTTGGCCTAGCGTTTTGAGGCGAGTTTGGGATCCACCACTATCCTGGGCGTGCTTGTGCCCCAATCGTTCAATTCGCAGCTGGGTGTCGCCTCTAGAGGGTTTGTCGCTGTCCGCCATAAGGTGTTTCAGCAGCCCCCATTTGCTTCCCCTCTTCATTTCGCCATCTGCTTTGTCGCATGTGTTGTTCCACTGCTGGGCGCAGAGCGTTTCGGCGTGAGATTCAATTTCGCGGCCAAGGTCCGTGATTTTTGTGCGTAAGTGTCTGCTGAGCTTGTTTTTACGCCACGCTTCTTTTAGGTCATGCTTTTTCTGCAGCAAACTGACCAGGCGAGAGTCCATGAACTGGATGGATTCATCAGTCTCGACTTCTTTGCTGGCCTCATTCGCTGCCACTTTTTAAAAGGGCTTCATAAGATAGTTCTGTATTGCCCTTCTGCTCCCGTATTTTATGGAACTGGTCCTCATCTGTGATTTTGAATTTTCTTAGCGCTTTCGCCTGTTCTCAACGGTAATTTCCAGGATGAAGTGGTCGCTACCTAGGTCTTCACCGACGGTTATCCCAGGTAGCTCTGACGTTCTTGGTGAAGGTTATGTCCGGCGTTGTGTCCTGCTGTACCGAATTACCTCTTCTTGAAGGGAGGGCAAGGTTGTTTATCAGCTGCAGGTCCAGCGCATTCGCGCTTTTTGCTAACTTGGTGCCTTTGCCTTCGCTTTTTGAGTATCCCCATTTGGTTCTCCTGGCGTTAAAATCGCCCGCTACTATGAGCGGATTGTCACCCGCCATTTTCACCGCCGAGGGAAGCAGTCTGTTCAAATCTCTTTTCTTATCTAATGGAGGACTGTAAACATTGAGCACAAAGATGCTTCTTTTAACAGCCCTGTGTGGTAAGATTTCTACCAGGACCATTTGCAGGCCTTTTTTTATACGGGGGCGTCCCTTTCGGCGAACAATATGTCCTTCCGGATGTAGATAGCCACTCCTCGCGTGTTGTTCTGCTCGGAGTGCAGGGTCGGCCTGGCCACCCTGTACCCCTGTATGCCAATGCTTTTAGCAGTTTGCTTTCTCCACATTCCTGTAGCAATATTATATGCGGCTTTTTGTACAGGCTAGCAATAGTTGTGTTAGTGCTGCTCTGCGTTTCTGAAGTGAGTTACAGTTCCACTCTCAGATCTTAACCTCCTAACAGTCAGTGGCCGTTTTAGCTTGGTAGCTTGTGTGCGTCGCGGCTTGTTATTTCAGCGGAGATTGCGCAGCATTGACTGGTCGGACTTTCGCTCTAGAAGTAATGCTCGGCACGCTTGCCGTAACCGCTGGTTTGTCCGCGCTCAGGTTCGGAGGAGCACCTGCCAGAGGTGGGTTGGCTACCATCTTCCCCAGGCTCGCGAACCTATGGTCAGCTTTGTCAGTGTAAGTCTTAAAGGTTTCCATAAACTTGGCAAGTGTGTTCGCCAACGTATCTATTTTGTCGTTGAGCTTAGTTGTGGATTCGACATTTGTCAGTGGGGCTTCTTTATCGATCGAGACCATCTCGATCTCCTCCGTCGTGTCGCTGTCGCTGTCTACGGCTTTGCGCTTGTGTGTGTTGTGGATCGTTTGTTGTGAGCGTATTGTCCGTGGTTCCAGTGAGCTCGACAGGCTTATGCTATGGCAGCTCTCTATTCTAGCTATTGAGGCCCGGAGCTCTTCAAGCTCCTTCTTGAGGGCCCTGTTTTCTTGTTCAAGCGCTACAATACGAGAATTGGGAGCATGCTCTGGCTGTGCCTTACTTTTGGGCTGGCTACTTGTGCTTCATGATTCATCAGCAACCCTGCTGGCCCAGGAGCCATTGTTCGGCTGCTGCTGCTGCGTGACTGTTAGTCTCGTTCTCGATCGGTATCTGGAGCACTCCCGAGATGACCGGCGGTTGTCGGATGCCGACAGGGTCGAGGGGCGCCCTCCGGAACGAGAACGGCCTCTGGATCAAAAACGGTTTCTGGATCGGGAACGCCCTCTGAATCGGGATCTCCCCCTGGATGGAGAACGGTGATGGACGCTAGAGGCGTTCTCCTGTCCTGGCACCTGGTTGTAGCAGGGTTCCTTGAACGTGACAGATGTTGGTGCGTCTTGACGTTGTTTTGCTTGCCACTCTTGCTTTCTGCGTCTTCTTCTCCTTTTCACTATGTATGAAATGTGGAAGCGTCTTTTGCATTCGCGATCTCCGTTGAGGTGATTGCCATCGCAAAGCTTGCATTTCGGCTCGCAGTGATGCATGCCGTCTTCTTGTAGCGTTTCACCGCAGTTGTGACATTTCTCGCTCGTTGCGTTTGTGTGCTGGCAAACATCGGCGTGATGGCCGACTCCTCCGCACGTTCTGCAAACATCGACTCTTCGCTTGTAGAGCGAGCAGGGAACCATGGTGGTTCCGCATATGACTGTGCTCGGAACGCGCAACCCATCAAAGAGGATTGCGACGACTTTGGTCTTTTTAACGCGTCTTGCATCGATGGCAGTGGGATTTCGGTCCTGCACAATCAGGCGTTTTGAGCGTTGCAGTCGTCAAGAGAGAGGTTCAACGTCCTTGACGACGCCCTTGCATGTATTATCGGGCGCGGCCACGTATGCGGCAACTGCGAACGAGCCTTGGTTTGTGTTCAGTTTCTGCATGTTCACGTATGATGTAGCACTATTTTGGTATGGCGTAGAGATAACAATAATGTTTCGCATATTGATGGGACAGATCGTTTCCTCCTAGGCTTGTTCATCGGTGATCTGGGCGGCCATGACGACGGTTCTCGCCAGCAGAACGAGGTCAACTCTGGCTACTGTGCAATCTTCCTCTGGGTCTCATAATTACCCTGATCTGGTCCTTGGGTAGGCGGGGTAGCCTGGAAGCGGATACCACACGGTGTAGTGCCGATTGAGTTTTTTTGAAGCCCCTGTGGTGCTTCGGCTGGTTGTTGTGCTCGACCGTCCCAGCGGCCAGCTCCTCGTTCGGCGGAGTCGTCTGTCTTCGGCGTCCCATGGCGGTGGCCCATCCTGGTCCATCGAAGATCTCCGCGCTTACTTCCATTTCCTCCACGGTTATGGTGGAAGGCATATTCAGTGCTTGGTTGTCAGCTGTGACGTGCGGAGGTTGATCCAGTAACTGCCACGTCTGGCCGAGCCCTTGGCTACGTGTAACGGCCGTACTCCTCGCCAACCCTAGGTGTGGTTAGGGTTAGTGGGGACGCTCACGGCGTCGCAACTTGTAAAGTCGAAAAGTATGTCTAAGAGTTCACTCACCGCCAAAAACGGCGTCTCCACTGAAACCGCAGAGCTTGCTTGTTCGAATAAGCACAAAGCTAAGTGATCTTGGAGGAAAGAAACGACCGAGAAAACATTTAGAAAAGCGGGAGCTGACGTTTTCACGTCCGCGCTCCTCGACGTCATTTAGTGATCCCCCTGTCTTTGTCCCAAGAGCGCGGCGTCTACTAGACGCTGCGATGTACATTGACGGAGTTTGAAAAGTTCACTCACGATAGAGCGTCTGCCGATGGGGAGCAGTGGCGTTGGGAGCACTTGCTGGTAGGGGCGGAGTCATGGAGCGAGCGCGCCCGCTTGGAGAAACTCAGTACAGGAAACACGAGCCACCAGAGAGGCAGGCATCGCGCACAAGCGGTGCATGTGAAACGAAACCTAGTCAACGCGTGCTGAATTCTGCTCAATGCTGCGAACGCCATCGCTCAGTCACTCGCATATGAAGCAGGCACTTAGTCGGCACTTAACTACTTTTCTCACAACAGAACTGGCATTCTATGCTGCTTTAAAACGACCGATGTTAGGCGCACAGTTGGTTTCCTTAAAGTACACTTGAGGCAGGCACCGAGAACTGACACAATTTAGTAGTCCAAAGGCGATGCAAACGAGAGCGGATTACGCTATCATTATATACTGTTGAAGATGAAGCTCAGCGCCCTCCAAGTTTTTGCACCTTGCTTCCACGATGATTTCTCGTTTGTCGGAAACGCCGACTAATAGCACGCGTTGAGGGGCAAGTTGGTGCATTGCTACAAAAAAGCAGGGGGGGGGGGGAGGTATTCAGAAAAAAAAAAACACCACACCATATGCAAAAACGACACCACGTAAGCAAACTTGCAATAATATCGTTGACCTTTCGCGTTTTGCTCCGTGTTTAAGTGAAACAGAAAGGAAGGCAGCAGATAAAAAAATAAGAACCTACGCATTTGCATGTGGTGCGTTTGTGCACCTTCTGCTTGCTTTTTCCCCTCCCAATCACCCCTTCCCCCAGCGTTATACTCGCCACTCTTCCGTGTAGCTTTCAGCACACTTATGGAAAAAGAGAAAAGACACTCGGAGAAACAAAAAACTATTTTTTTTCTTCGCTTTTACGTGCATCTCAAAACATTTTTTTTAAGGCCGTGGTTTCTTGACACAATAAAACTTTCTGTTTTCATTTGGCGCGAAGGTTTCATAAAACGATGTTGCGGTACGCATGAACACAATATTGCAGTTTCCTTAAAGCCCACTGATGATGTGTGAGCAACGAAAGCGAGCAGCGTAGAGCTAACCATGCTCAGACATTTAGGCTGACTCACAGTTGGGCATGTTGGTATAAGTTCACGATGGAAGCGCTTTTGTTGTTTTTGTTGGGGGGGGGGGGTGGAGGGGGCGGGCGCTCAACATTTTTTTCGGTTGTAAGCCATGGATAATGGGAGTGGTTTTTTGTTATTTGCCGTAGTTGATAATAGGGGTTGTTTTGCATGACGTACCTGCGTGTTATGCGTACATTCAAATTTGGCTTTGCGGAATTGCTCCCGATAGCCTTCTGCAGTGAACGAAAACCGCTGCTGTAGTAGCGCTCTTAACTAGTTATAATATGACACAGCTGTTGGATCAAACCTGCCTATGACAGTCAGGGCCTCTCCAGTAAAGCATAAGCTCAATGTGAGAGCCCATTTCTCACGGGGCCACCCTTTCCACGTCGCGACGAGCTCGAACCAGATAGGCGTCGAGATCATCTCGTACTTCATTAATAGGTGGTATCAATTTATGAGGCCTACACGTTTCCCGTGCACATGTCGTTTTATGCTAGGTTGCCCTGGTTCGCTAGCCTCAGTAGCCTCTCCTTCCATGCTTTCGTGAAGTCGCAGATTCAGCTCCAAAATTTTCAGCCCTTGCTACTGAAGCTGACGTTGTCACTCAGCACTTTCTTTCGCCTCTTCTCTTTTCTGTGTGCGTTCATCATGAGATGGGGCGCACTTTTTCTCTACTCATTATCGGAGCTCACGCGGACCGCCAGACTTCACGAGTGCTCATAAAAGAACTAGTCAGACCGCGCTGTTTATTCATATCTTTCTTACTCTTCTTGTTTTGGCTCTATCGCTTTCCTTTCTATTATTGCATCCCTCACTCAAAGAGTGGGGTAGCCAGGCAAGCCAAGCTTGGTTAACCTGCCAGCCTTTCCTCACTCTTTCTCTCTTAGAGTTCATTTCGAAGTAAGAAAGTTTCAGTTGCTAGAAAGCACTTGTCCTGTGCTCTTTCTGAGGGTACTCTTCGGCATTTGTTTCATCTTGATCATGCTACGACGTATTACGGAGCACAAGTGTGGCAAAAGGTTCACCACTTCCATTTTTCAGGGCAGCTCACTTTCAAACTTACTCCCCGTTTCGCCGATTATATCGCAGTTTTTTGAGCTATTTAAAAAACTAAAGCGCTTACACAAAAAGGTTTTTCGGCAATAATATAGTGCTCGCCTGCCAGAGATGATAGCCGTGGCTTGATCCAAGCCACCATTTTCCAGAATCACATCTCCACGTTCAGTGCCTTTGCCGGAGGAAAGTGCGCCCCACAGGTCACGTCCATCCACGTCACCGAGTTCAGAAACGCGTCCTCCTTAAAACAAAAGGCAAGTCACCTGACGAAACCAAAACGTTCACAACGCATCAGAATACGGGGACAAAAAATGAGACACAGACACAAGCGCATAGGAGATTGCTGCCAAACAGGTGTTTGATAATGAAGGGCCCATCGTACATCTGCAAAATTTTGTTAGATGAAGCGTGGGTAGAACTGTCAATTGCCAATGGTCTTGCTTCATCTTCATCTCTTCTATACAGACGCCTAGTGTTACGTACTAAGGCACTACAGTGAAACGTCCGTGTTTATAATAACATTTATTGTTGCGTCTCTAGTATCTTTAACTGAAAAGAACATTTTCAAGCATGGAAGCATGCACTGGCTGTGATACCGCGCGTGAACTGGACAGGATACTCTAGGTGGTACAGTCATATTTAATGATAAGCCCAGTTCGAAAAAAAAAACCCAGTCCGCTCATCGCTGATCCCACGTGGCCAAAAAAAAAAAGCATATCGATATCGAATTGGGCTTAGGCGCTCAAGTATGGAAATGTTTTCTCAACAATAGCAGCCTCGCTCGCCCGAGCCAAGCAAAAGTCCCTTTGCAAGTTTGTGCATTATTATGCTTAAACAAAGCAAAGTACAGATATTGCTATTCTTGTAAGAGCAATTATATGAGCACTCCCGGCAAACTTTTGCACTTGCTGTCACCGCCATGCCCCGGTTGTGTATACGTGTAAATATACAAACAGCACACAGAAAAATAAATCCGAAGGAAAAATTCTGAAGCAGCCGACCAGGAAATCGAACGAGTAACTACTCGCTGCACAGCACGCTGCGTCAGACATTTCGACCGCTCGCCATTGATGCACAGGCATTATAACGGTGAGCTGCTTGAATAAACCATTATCCGCTGCCGTTACATAAATTTCGAAGAAGTTCTAGCTTGTTTTACCTCACGTAACACTCAAACATCTTTTTTTTAAATTTGAAAGCTGCCCTAGACACGCGCTCAAAAAAGTGGCCCCTTTTTGTACTCGCTTGCGATGCTAAACGGAAAAAAAAAGCACAGCATCTAGAAGAAACGAATGATGACGAGTGGGCGAAGCCAAGCCTTGATATGCGTAATATCTGCATTGTACACGATAAATAAATAAATGGTTCGTTTTTGTAGGTGCTTTATGTTATCTGTCAGAATTAGGAAAATTATTATTCAAGTATTTCTTGAACCGTTTTTGTGTCTCACACATGTAACGCGAGCGTTGCCCCTTACAGTTTATATTCGGTGACATAACAAGACGTCCTGAGTGACATAAAGTGACACAAAGCAAGGGCCTAAGGTCCATAATGTCTATATTGAGGTCGCCGACTAATATATAGGTTTTGTGTTTGTAGGTATTTTATATGGTTCGGCCACAATTATGATTGATGTCAGTCTATTTCAAAACCTTTTCTTTTGTGTGTGTCTCACAATAGCATAGGTTACCCGAGCATTGCCCCATTTAATGAAGCCATGACATAAAAAAAAGAAAACCGTTAACTCTTTGTGCTACACACATGAGCGTAGCAGTAGATGCTGGGTCAGGGAACGTGCCATCGCTTCAATATATATATATATATATATATATATATATATGTATATATATATATATATAAATATATATATATATATATATATATATATATTTGTGTGTGGCTCCGAATCGTCGACAAATACATCGCGTTGCTCAAGCACAAAGTCGTAACGACGGTGAAAGTTGTGGCCCTGAGCCTGCATACCTGTGTGTGTGTTCTTTCTGAACATCCTTATCCATACTTCAGTGGTGCACGGCAAGTATTGAGCTTCTTGTTTTTCTGCGTGTGACGCCCCAACTTATCGCACTAGGATCAATTGCTGCGGCACTTGAGGCGAAATCGTCTTTTTCTTCCGTCTAGATGTGCTTACTAAGAGATCGCTGTATTGCTGTAAAGAGCACTTAGTTGGCGCCTGGCGCTAGAATATGCGTTCTGTCATTGTTTCCAGCACTTCACCACTGTTCGATCTGCCGCTATGCTGATTTGTTCATTCTAAAGATGTTATAAGACTCACCGTATTCTAGGCGGCAACCTTCCGAGCGGATGTAACACAGAGTTCACTTACCTGCGGCGGTGTACAAAGTGGGCGCCCAGTCTACGATGTGCATCATCTGTTGCGAGGGTGGCCGCGGCAAACGACCACTCAGACGACCATACCAGAACACCGCGGGAGTCCGCACGCCACCTTCCCACGCGTATCCTTTCATTCCGCGAAGGGGCCAATTGGAGCCAGCATTCGATCCGGGGATTTCGTCAAGAGGCGCGGCTCCGTTGTCACTGGCGAACACTACAATACTGTTGGCGAGCATACGGCGGGACTGGAGAGCCGCCAGAACCTCACCAATGGAACGATCCATCACGTGCAGTGCTCCTGCGTGTGTTGGAGGTGTGTAAGATAGAAGATTCAATGCATCGACTTGATTACGTACAGTTTGAAGAGTTTTGAATGCAGTCGTGGCCTCAAATAAAAATAGCAGCTTATTTATGTGCTCCGAGTACTTGCGGGATGGGCCTGGGCACCACACAAGTCTCGGTCAAGGCTTGCCATGTTACGTCAACATCCAATCATATACAATCCACACGAGCACAAGCGCTAAATATCAGCCTACCACTTCTGGTGATGCTAACACTCTGGTTGCTGTAACCATCATTACACAAAAAAGTGGTTACGTAAAAGATGTCCCGAATGTTAACATACGACTGTGTTTACAACATTTGCAGATATTTTCAGCCATATTTCGTATCGTTTCGCTAAAGGTAAAAACTGCAGCATAGTCAAATTTACTCTGTATGCGTCACATAAGATCGCTTCCCAAGGCACGTGACATCTGCGGAATTTGCGATCATTATTAGACGTTAATGCTTTTTTGCAATGATTACAAAATGCTCCTTAGTACTCAGCCTTCCAGGAGGTATTGTCCCAGATGCAGAAGCGTGGCGGGGGACGGTGGTTTGAATAGTGGAATGATTTCTTTACTTGACCGATCAAAGAAGCGCAATTTGAATATACGCAATGAAGCTTGCGGCTTCCCATAGGCGAGCACAGCAAGCCTTGCAGCATGACTCCAAACTTCAACGGCACTAAATTTCTAAAAATTGCATTTAGCATGACTGCACGCGAACTTGTTGAAGTGATTTTTACCAGGACAGCTGAAGACTCAAGCCATAACTGACGCTGAGGTTGGCTTTATGGAAGGTCTTGTTGTTTTGCTCTTACGGTGTTTTTACATGTTTTTATTGGTCGTTTGTTCAACTTGGCCCGTGTTTTCTAACACATATTTGAAGTAGTGAGTTCGTTTTTCGCGTTTCGTGGTCTGTCACGTCGACGTCGCGTTATTCTGAAGTACGTCGGTCCGCTCCTTATAACGTTTTACGTTAGTTTGCTTATTTTGGTTGTGAAGTCTTCGCATTTTTTTTCTAAGAGCACAAGCAGGCAGTTGCTTTTGCTAATTGATGTCGAGATTTTTTTCAGGTTGTTAAATCTAGTTGTTAATTACTCAATATTTTTGTGTTTTGTCCGTCACATGTGCATTTAGTTGCCTACATCCACTCATCACCAGGAAAATGTAGGTATATTACGCCATAGGCATGTACGGTTCAGCATTTTGAGGCGCGTTTTTTTAAAATGTATTTATTGTTGCCATCTGGTCATCCTGAAACAGTTCATTTTGTGTGATATAGGTGTGTTGAGGCATTAGCATTTCATCCCGTTCTAGTGGTGTGAATTTTTCTTTGCTTGCGGACTTCTCGTTTCCTTTCACTTCATTATTTTATCTTGTGTACCAGTGTATTGATTATTAGAGGCAGGTTTCCTGCGTAAGTAGGACTCTCTAAGTTCAAACAAGCTCCGTTTTGCGTAGGCACTCAAGGGTGTTTCGCGTGGCTCCTGTATTCGTCCAAGTCGCGCACTGCACTTGCCCGCGGTTTCAATAGCCCTGCAGCAGTCAACTAACTTACCGGCGAACATTGTGCGGTTGTGAGCCTCAATGTAAGAAAAGCTTTCAACAATTTCTTCGGGAGCCTCTGCATTGCACTGTACACCATATTCCTCGCAGCTGGCGTGCACGGCTTGGTAGCTCAGGTACAGAAAGAGGGGCTGCAGTGAAACAAACGGAACAATAATGAACTTGAAATGGTGTTTTACTAACAAGATGTATTGCTTCACTGTTCGCCAAAGAGTCCTTGGGTGCAATCCCGACCACAGCGGTGGTATTTAAATGGCAAAAAGACACTTAATGTCCAGATGCTTAAACTTAGGTGCGCGTTAAGAACTCCAGGTGATGATAATTTTCGGTGCCCTCCGCTGTGATGTCTGTCATTATTATATTGTGGTTTGCGGACGTAGATCCCGAACAGTTATTATTATCGCCAAAAGAACGAGTGCACGTTTGCGTTCCGTGCCATGAAAAAGCCTTCAGTATGAAAAGGAATAAACACAGATAACTGCTGAGGCTCTTTTCGTAAGTTGTGGCTTCGCTGACTTGTGTTCAAAGTGATTGCATCTGGTGCCAGTTTGACGCAGACTTTCAAGCTCCGACGTAGCATTGCCGTGTAATACATTTGACCAGGACATTGTACATGGGAATAAAGTGTTTGTGAGCTCTTCAAATTCATGTAAATTTGCAGTGGTTTAAGCTGAAGAAGGCGCTCCCCACCAGAAGGCATGAATGAACGCAAGAATGTCTCACGGCAAGAGACACCATATGTGCATATGAAGGACGAGCTGATTGATGCAGGAGGCTAGAAAAAACAGAAAACACTACGTACATGCCGTCAGAGACAAAAAGTATTTTAGAAAAACTATTTATGGAAATACTTTTGCTAGCCTAAAGCTGTGCCCAGCAGTCACGTGAAGTGTGTCTTTATAGGTTTTGTTTGTCTCACTGTTGATCTAAGAGAAGATTATCGAAAGCGCAAAGTAAGTAATTAGTTATCACTAGACGATTGCTCGGGCTTTTAGAGGAATGTATTCATTCTAACGGGCTCACTCCCTTCCGGGAAATTCACAAGCTGCTCTTCTTCACCAGCTTCAAGTCGGCGCCATAGCTCCGGACAGCACTTCATTTGTACTGCTTGTTTTCAGCTTTCGCATTAATGACTGAAACGACAGAGATCTATCGAGATCACATTTTTTGGAGTGAAAATAGTAAAAATTCTCGAAAAAAAGTTCTTCTTCCTCGTAGAAACATCCTGAATGTTAGGCTAATTTTGTCGGTTCTATCACGAAGCTTTCTGACTGATTCATACATAGTATACTGCAAGATTACTCGCTGTGTGATTCCGTTTCAAAAAGTTCTTGGCATGTTCTGTCTTCTAAAGGAGCTTGGTGAAAAACGACACGCATGTTTGTCAGTACTTCATACACCTCCTGATCCTACTCGCTATGATCAGTCATAGCCCGTTTAGCAACCATCGTATACTTGAAAAATTCCGATACTCTAGCTTCACCTGAAAAAGCCTATGTCTGAAACATCGACATGTTTAAATTTCGTTGGAAATCTGCCCGTATGCAGTGATTATTATCTTTTCCAGTTACTAACATGCGTGATTTCGGCTTTTGTTTTCTGCGCAGAGCCACTGGATATTGAGAGCCAGGGTAAATTTTAGGTAAGAGGTAAATATAATCTAACTTCGTGTCTTTTTGTTACAGTTTTTGTTACGCAATGACTTTTCCCAATCTTGTGGCTTCTGCTACTGGTAAGTGAGCCATCAGGGTAGGAAAGAAGTGACTGGATATCCTGTGCTGGTTGCTGCATGACAGACCTGCAGCTACAAATTGTTTTTAGCGAGGGGGGGAGGCACTGGAAGACTTCAAAAAACTTCTATTGTCATTACTTACTCACAGTAGAACACCGCTTGTGACAAGAAACCCTTGGAGTCTTACCCCTTTTCTGGCTACAGGCCTCTGCGTGGCTACTGAAATGTGTTTAAGGGTAACTTACCTCCACAGTCGGACTCTATTCGTCAAAAGCGCAAGTACAACCTGAACAAAGTGTTCCTCCAGTATCGGCGTAGAGGCAAATCTATGATTCAAGTAACAATACGAAAATGAGACAAAATAAGCCTAAGTGTTACTCAAGTCAGTGTACTACCCGTGTTAAGCGCCCCGCAACGGTGGTCTAGAGGCTAAGGTACTCGGCTGCTCACCCGCAGGTCGCAGGATCGAATCCCAGCTGTGGCGGCTACATTTTCGATTGAGGCGGAAATGTTGTAGGCCCACGTACTCAGATTTGGGTGCAAGTTTAAGAACCCCAGACGGTCGAAATTTCTGAAGCCTTCCACTACGGTGTCTTTCATAATCCTATGGTGTGTTTGGGCGTTAAACCCCACAAATCAATCAATCAATTGACTCGTGTTAAGCCTAGTTGTACAAAATTGGTTTATCCTTTCCCAGACCACCAGTGCGTCATACACTCATGCCTAAACGATCCTTTTTATCTATAAATTGGTACGCCCACCCAGTTTTTTTTGTTTTATCATGACACTTACTGACACCTGTCGTCCAGCGTTTTTTTGTAAGCAGTATATTTTCTTTGTGCACTTTCAGAAAAAAAAGTTAGATAGGAAAGGGCGCACACTTAGAAACATGTTTATTGCTGATATTGTGAACAAAGAATCTTCATACTTTTAAAATGCAATACCAGCCAGCCCAAGTAGCCATCCTGTTTAGCGTTTAACAGCATAATAGCGAGATAAATGGTTCCTGCAATGAAGCATCACCTTGTTCTTGAACTTTAATTTGAAAGCTTTCTTTCTTCGTATATCTTTCGTAACCAACCTTCAATCCTGCGTCTAGTAATGTTTCATTTCTCTTTGTGTCTGAACTATATCTCCGGTATAAGCTGCTTGGAGTTTTTTTTTCCCTTCAGTGTCCTTCGTGCGCAGCCAGCGCAGTAGCTGTACAACAGAGGTAGGTAAGCGTGAAGCCAATCGAAGCGTTCCTTTTTTTTCGAAGTCATGATCTAGGCTGATTGTTGTTATGTATAATGTTAATATTACCTTCTGTATTACTTGCTACTGGTTGTAAAGCATTCGATGTAGAATATGATGCCTACCTTGTTATGAAAGGCATCTGAAATGACGCCGTATTTGTGTGGTTTGCGTCTGATCTTCCTGTTTGAAAATTTACATTGAAGATGTTTGATGCAATTTAAGAAACACACTAGCACCGTAAAATATGCACCACGTTGTATCATTTCATTCTGCTCATTCACCTGCTATGCTTTTAACTTAGAGTGACCATATTCGAAATCAGTAAATAAGCATGCCAGACACCGTATTTTAAGGCTACTAGTGGTGACGATAATCGTGTTGCAAAAAAAAATATAGCGTCAATGCCAGTAATCGGGAGATTGAT